GCTGACTGCCTGGTCTCTGAGTCCTGAACAAAGGCTGCCCGGATAGGCTGAACGATGGGAGGGCTTGAGACTGGGCTTGGAGAGGCTGGGAATGTTGGAAAGATGGAAGGGGGAGGAGGTGGTGTGGGTGGAGGCTGGGGAGTGGTGAAGCTGGGGGAAGGCCAGGCAGACCAGAAGCTGGGCCATGGTGCAGGAGTGAGGGAAAGGACACCGAGCCTGAGGAAGAGTGGCCCTAACCAGACTGGAGCCACCATTTTATTTTATTTTTTAATATATTTTATTGATTTTTTACAGAGAGGAAGGGAGAGGGATAGAGAGCTAGAAACATCGATGGGAGAGAAACATCGATCAGCTGCCTCCTGCACATCCCCCACTGGGGATGTGCCCGCAACCTAGGTACATGCCCTTGACAGGAATCGAACCCAGGACCCTTCAGTCCGCAGGCCGACGCTCTATCCACTGAGCCAAACTGGTTAGGGCTGGAGCCACCATTTTAGAACATTGATTACTCAAGGTCAGATGCAGTGTCTCCTGGGTATTTGAAACACACATACCTTGAAAAGTAGCAGCTGGAGGGAGATTTCAGCTATGGATTTATGCACGTTCATATATCACCCAATTTCCCTGGCAGGCAGGCCTGTTCCCCTCCTTTTAGCACAGCTCCAGACTTGCCCCTGCCGTCTCTGCTGCTCTCCCCGCCTCTGTTTCCCCTACGGCCCAGTCACCACCACTGGCCGGCCAGCTCATTGACTGCTTCCTCGCCCCTCTCATACATGGATAGTGTGAGCACCAGTCAGAAGAATGTGCCTCCATGAAAGTGTGGGACCCCTGCTCTTGCCTCGGTCATCTTCCCACTGGTCCCAGCCCTGTCTCGCCCTCATGAACTTCCTTCTAACTTGCTCACCGCTCCCTCCTGGAGAAGACAGGAGCCCATCTCTCCTCTGCCTCCCTGCCCCACCTCTGTCATAAGTGACTGGCTGTGACCTGCTAGTCCTGAGGAGGTTTGGCTCAGTGCCCACCAGGGTTCCAGCTCCCTGCCTCTGCCCCCACCCCAGGAATGGGCAGGGAGGAGGTGGGGGAATTGAAGTGGAATCACCGTTGGGGAAGGAGCCTGGGCAAGCATCACAGGACCTTGAACCTTCCAGAGCCCTAAGGTAGGGCCCACATGATGGTACCTATTCTCTTCTCAGTCCCTCTCCATGTCGATCAACCATGGCCAAGGTGGAGTCCCAGGGTTGCTGAGGGAGGCTGCAGTGGCCAAGGTACCAGGCAGAGCCCTTACACCCTCTGGTCTCCAAGCTGGCCCTTTCTGCAGGAGGCCTGGCCCACTGGAGCCCTGTTAGTTAAAACTTCCTCCAACCTCCCATTCTCCTTTCCACCAATCAACCTCAAATGACATAGCGGAGTCTGCGAGCAAAGGCTGCAGCACAGGAGAAAAGAGTAGGAGACAAAGAAGCAGCAAGGAGGGAGAGAAATGGCAAAAAATGCCCTGAAAATGAACTGAAAAACGACCCCCATCCCTTCCACCCTGCCCTGGGTGTAGGCCCTGGGCAGGCACCAGAAGACTTCCCACAGTTCCCATTCATTTCATTTCCACCCATAATCAGTAAGCACCTACTTTATGCCAGACACTGTGCTGGGCAGAGAGGCCCAACCAGATGAGTGTGTTAGGGTGATAACAGAAAATTCCACCAGACTCTGTGGTCCTGACGCCCAGTATCTGCTCAGTTTTAGATCGTCAGTGTACAGCAGAGTTCCTGGCACTTACAGTGAACGTTGTGGAATGAATTACACATTCTTGTGGCATTCCCTCGGGAGGATGTTGAGCATAGTAGTCAGGGAGGCAGTACAAAATAGTGGGGAAGAGGGTGTGGGCTCTGCAGTCGGACTGCCTGATTCAGGCTCTACCCAATTCAGTGTGTGAACTTGGGCAAGCTACTCTCCCTCTCTGACCCCAGTATCCTCATTTGCAAATAGGGATTGTTCCGAGGATTAAAAGGTGATGTCTATAAAATGGCAAACAGCGACCTGCACCTAAGACTGCGGGAAGAGACCATCACAGGGCTAGAGCAGGTGTATAGGTGTGTGTGTG